CCGTTATCGACTGTGGCGCTCTATATTGAAGAAAAATAATCACAAGCTGTTGAACTGGGTTGAAGGAAGGGCGATAAAGATATGAAAGAACGTCAGCACTGCTCATATAACTTCCAGTTTGGTATGTTTGACTTATTCCTCATAGTAAACAGAACAATCGAAGTGAACATCAGCCCGACATATTGGATTGTGGAGAACCGACTCTGTGCCAAGCCTCTTGATAATTCGTTCGTAAAAGCTGATTAGCCCTTATATTATAGTTTTGCCTGTACTACAACTCCGAAGACGGGTTTATACTTGAAGTAGACTTTAAATGCGCACAATTTTAACCCAAAAGAAATCAAAACTAAAGCAAACGTGCTAGTGCGATGAATGAGTCTAGAGGCAAACGAAGAAGGCGTTTGGGAGAAGGAGGGCTCAATTGCATAAGATATGAACTGCTTGCATCCGAAAAAAGGAACAGCTAGTGTGCATGTTTTAAAATGTAGCATGAAGCAATTTAAAGGGTTATTTCGAAGATACACCCTATCTAAATGAATCTTTGTACTCTCTGATTTGCTCACAGTAGGGCTGTCGGAACAGACAAACAACAAGGTTAGGCGCCTCTTTTAAATTGGACGCTAGGCGTTATTTCAACATTTACTCCGAACGTCAAGGTTGTCCCGGAGGCCGCATTAAAATAATTTAATTGGTAGCTGTTCAAAGTAAGCGAATGGAGGTAGCTAATTACGCAGCCGAGAATCCTTCAGACGCCTTTGCGAATAGGGTAAACAGTTATCACAGTGCTTTTACATTATTTTCTTCAGCGTTTTGATCCGATGTTTAAAACTAAACGCACCATTCTCCATGAAAGGAAACAAGAAGTCATACCAGACATCAATAAATCAATTTCGATAAAAGATGGAGCTGAAAGACTCGCAAGGTAAGTTATTTGTACCCTTGACCAATTTCTCTAGGGTGTCTCGCCATAAACGAGATAAGGCCAGGGCTGCCGTGGAAGCCGACACCGAATACTCGAAGTTAAAAATTCTCAAAGATCAACTCGACTCTCTTAACTCGGAATTTTCTATTTATCAAACCATAGGGTGAGTCAATTTCCTCTGCTGCATAGACCTTCTGCCTATATTTTATCACATAAACAAGCAGCTATTTTACAGTCTTACATCGAGGCTGAGTTTCAGTTTCAGTTTTAGAAAGCTCACTTGATCTGCTTATTTTAATAGGAAGGCTTTGCAATGAATATGGTTGTAACCTTAGTTTCCTGTGGAAACGAGTTGTGTCCGGATAAAGGAGGAAATGCTTGTTCACCGGTACGACATCTTGAACATGTGGCAAATAAAGGGATTATCACAAGAAGACGCCGTAGTTCTTCAATATATTTTGTAAACTAGAAAAATTGGTTTTGGTTTTTTAAAGATTTCGCTCCAGTTTTGGGGTTTAGGAACTAAGACCCTTTTTCCAATTGTCTTCCTCGTATGTCGTCTCGAGGCTAAATGACCCGAAAACTATCCGGAATTTCAGTTAATTCAGCGTAGTTCTTCCAAGTTCTTCAGAATTTATGAGCAATTTTTAACTGCAGTACTTCGAGTAGTATCCAGTAAATGGTGTTTTTAATGATAAGAATGGAATGTTCACCAGATTTCGATTTTTACAACTTCCGATATAAAACTCCGTAATTCCGGATCTTTGTCTAAAATCGCACAACTTTTGTTGTGCCTTAAGACTAAACCAATTCCATGTTTTGCGTCAATTTCTTGTGAATCGACTGAATATACCTAACTACAACTCCTATCGCAAACTGGCTGTCAACGTGATTTGTTGATGTTTCTGTCGACCTCCACTTATACTATATCACTCGATGCTCACAAGGCTGATTCACTATAGAAAACAGTTTAGATCTCTCAGAAAACACAACAAAGCGAAAATTCCCAGACATTTAGCGTTTGTATTCGCACAGTTACTCCTATAATTTTACGAATCTTACAATACATAAAGCAGGAAAATTGAATAACACTGGAATATTTTTCCCCAATTACACGTTCGCACGAAAACGGTGAAATAAAGTGTTTTCTCATATGATCTAAGTTTTAGAAGACTACGCTTATCAATGGCCAGATTAGAGCCAAAACAACTGAAAAATGTTCAGGGTCAGTTCTTCAGTCGCTCATTCTGTTGGAATCTACTAGAAAGTTGCGAAAGGAAGATTATGCGCAGTATATATATATATATATATTCACTCAGGAATGTCCGAACAGCGATCCAATAGGCTTCCGAACTAAACAAAGTTCACGTGGTGGCTAGAGATCCCGAGACGGGTGACCACCTGCCAGGCCGATGCCGGCCAAGTCATAATAGCAGAGGGGATGACAGCGTTTGGGGGTAACTTGATACAGAACTGTCTCGGGCTTATTTGCCTTCATTCAGCCAAGCATAACCCTGAACACCAGCTGGATCGGACAAAACAAACATACGCACTCACAAATGGCGCGGCTGGTCCACCGCTGGGATCTTCCAGACGGGTCATAATCACCTCATCGAACCGCAGTTCATCAATGCCTCGCACACTTGCCATTAACTGTCACTGCAGACCGGGTATATATTCACTCAGGAATGCCCGAACAGCGAACCAATAGGCTTCCAAACTAAAGAACATAGTTCTAAAGTGCGTTTAGGCACAAGGGCTTTAGTTATTTCTTGCTTACACTCGGCTACGTCTGCTACCCATAGAATGCGTTCTATCCTCCAAGGGCATGCAAAGTCTCCTCTCCACCAAGAACTAGCACAACATTGGATGCAAATGGGGAAGCAGCT